GGCGACGATTTTATTGTTTTTAACTTTTTACAAGTTCTACAATAATTCCTGTACGCTGAATCCGAAAATGATAGCCACTTTTCTCCATCACATACACATTTTTCACAAAACCTCATAACGCAATACATGCAAGAAAAACCACAACACGAAGGTTTGAGACTAAAAGACGTAGATTTCATAAAAAAAAAAAATCAGTATGAATGAGGATGCATATTCGTTTGACATCAATGTTCTTCTCTTTTCTTCAGTTTGTTTGTATTTGTGTTAACAAACATAATAATAACTATGTTCATTGGGGTAAACGAAATAATAATTTGATCTAAAAAAGTTTTTTTTCTTCCCGATTTGTAACAAATCCTTACGTGATGTAAAAAATGAATATTATTTTCGAAAGTCCGTTATTAAAACTAAAACAACTTTTATGAAGTTTAAATTCACAAGCCCGTGTAATAAGTGTCATTATCAAGAAAGGGATAAACTCACCTTTTGGGGGAAAAAAAAGTTTTCAAACTATTTCAAGTGAATGAAGTTTGTTACATTTCCCAAATGAACTGGTATAGTACAACAAAAGTGGATACGTGTCCACGAGGTGTTTAAATGAAGTTCTAAACGTTTGTTTTTCTAATACTAAAATATTTTAAACTTAATTTCCATACAATGTCCAAGTAAGAACTGATGTAAACGTTTAATTTAAATGTAAGGAACTATAAACCTACGTCTTACTGAAGTACGTTATTAAGGTTTTATTAGAATTTGATGTTTTCGTTCATACACAATCAACGATGGTATCATATTAAATAAACATAAATAAATCACACTTTTGAAAAAACACGTATTATAATTTCAAGTAGAGTACACAAAAAGCGTATCAAACTAGTTTTCTAGTCTTTATGCTGATACTTTGTTTCAAAAATACTATATTCATGCTTACCATCCTATCAGTGCCTCTTTCTTTCATATTTATTTCTTTGTATTGTTACGCCTCCAGTCGTTAATTGATTTTCCGTAAATTCGTTCTGACGAAACTTTAGCGACACAAGTCCTTACTTAATAAAACTGGTTTATTCTTTCCGAATACAACTTTACGATACACTTAATTTCAACAATCACGCTAAAACAAACGCTATAACAACGAACGTGCTCAACTTCAACAATACTCTCTGACTGCAAATCAATTACTCACTGTCTACACACATATTGTCACGTCACGCCGTGACCATCTTATATATACCAGACTACCCGATATCTAGTAAATGCTAGGGCATTCACGAAGGAACAAGATACTTCTAGAAACGTGGCGTGACACTGGTCACGTGTCCTCGCTGACGCAACACTGCCCCTCCTTAGTATTGTTCGTCCCGAACAATAACCACATACAATAAACCTCTAACAATTAACAATAACTTAATTAAATGTACAGAATTACAAACACAAAATTACAATTCAACAAAGTCTCTTAATTTTACAGGACGTATCTTCTTCCGTACTGGTCTCCGTCTCGTTGGCTTCTGCTTCATGTGGGATTCATCTGCTTCATCAGTAAATGTCCTTTCGTCATTAACAGTCACATCAATGGTAGTAACTTCATCAAGAGCTTCACCATTTCCCTTCTCACAACTGAGTAGAGTTTCTTCTCCGACAATGGCTTTTTCAGGTGGCACGTCTTCAGCAGCGTCATTTGTTCTGTTGTCCACTTCTTCCCAACTGAAATGTCCTGGACCGTGATAACGCCAAAGCCTGTTGACATGCACCACTTTTGGCTTACCTCGCCGACCACATTTTATCCGGAAAGTCACGTCTGAGAGACGATCCACTATGTCATATGGGCCTTCCCATGGAGAAGACAACTTAGGAGACTTCCCTTTGGTCTTCCTGGGATTATACAACCATACCTTGTCACTTGCTACAAAGCTGACTTCAGTAGATCTCTTATCATAAGTTAACTTCATCGAATCAGCAGACGGTTTCAAGTTTGAATGCACTTGATGGTGGATATCATCCATCCTTTACGATAACACTTTCACAAACTCTGACACATTCTCAGATAACTCTTCATAAGGTGGGCGCCCTGTTAACAGATCCACTGGCAACCAAAGTTCCCTACCAAACATCAACTTTGCTGGAATGAACTGGGACAGGAATTGGCAAAGTTTTGTAATAGCCACCAAGATGACTGGGATGTCTTACTCCCTCCACTGTTGATGGCCTATAGGACAGCAGAGCATGAAGCCACTGGATACACTCCAGCAAAGTTGATGTTTGGTCGGGAACTTCGGTTGCCAGTGATCTGTTAACAGGACGCCCACCTTATGAAGAGTTGCCTGTGTCCAGTTGTACTTTTCTATCATCCCATCGGACTGTGGGTGAGGTGGCGCTGTCTTGGTCTTTTGGATACCAAACAACTTGCAGCATTCTTGGAACACAGCTGATTCGAAGTTACGGCTTTAATCTGAATGCAGTTTGTATGGCATACCAAATCTTAAGAAGAAATCACTAATAGCCGAAGCTACAGTTGTAGCTTCCTGATTTGGTATTGCATATGTCTCATGCCACTTGGTGAAATAATCCATCACCACACAAATATACCTGTTTCCAGCACGAGTTTGGGGCAAAGGACCAGCAATGTCAACGGCTAATCTTTCCATTGGTGCGCCAACTTGATATAACATCATTGGAGCACGTCCCTTATGCTTGGGTCCTCTTTTAGTACAACATGTACTGCATGCTCTGCACCATTCTTCCCCACTTGCCTCATACCTATTCAGTAAAATCTCTGTCGTAAGTGACTCAATGTCTACTTAACTCCAAGATGTCCTCCTGTTAAACTATCATGGGATAGATGCATCACAAATTCTCCTAACTTTCTCGGTATAACCGTTTGCCAGGTCGTTACTTTCCCATCTCTGGAGAAGAATACCATCTTCAAGCTTCAACTGGTCCCATTGTGCCCAATAGTTCTTTGTCACAGGGTTTAAGCTAGACACCTCCCAAGCAGGGTGCAAAACACTTGCTTTTAGGAAATCAATTATTGGCTTCAAATCTTGCTCTGATTTAATATCTATACCTGGTTCCATTTAACCATCCTCAACTCTTTCAGTCACTTTGACTTCAGCTTGATGACGCCTGGTTAGTTCAACCATTCTTTTGCAGCAATGTCTGCAGTCATTTTTGCATGGTCTCTGGCTCAGTCCATCGGCATTTCCATGATATTTTCCTTCTCTGTATTCAGTATCATAATTATACTGGTCTACCTTTCCAATCCAACGTGCCAGTTGTCCCTCTTGGTTCTTTAATGATCTTAACCAGCATAACCAGTCTTAACGACTCATGCGCTCGACCCGACTGTTCGTATCTATCTCTGTCTGCAATTCAATTACATTATTGCCATCACTTCTTACCGGTCTTATATATACAAGAATACCGCAAATCTATTAAA